TTAATAATAGTAGTGGTAGTATGCCACAACATGTTTCGAGCTAGAATTCAGCTCTATTTGACTTTTACTCTGTTTATCAACTACCACTGTGAAGAATAATTTGCAAAAATCCTGAAATTTAATCAAAAGCTATGTATATAATTCATTTTTAAAAAATTAAAGTAGAAAAATCTTAAACAAATTTATGGATAATTACCAGACAAACCAGTGACACATTCTTATATGCATTTATTGAAGTTTATATTTTTATGGTTCTCACTCTTAACCCTTTCACGCCGACTGTCACAAATACGTGCCAGCATAAAACCGTATCAATCAGGGTAAAAAGATAAAACTGGTAATCAAAGTATTTCTTTAGCAGTTTATTTTATAATTGTTTGATTTATTTAATTCACAATTACTTTGTTCAAAATAAAACTATTTAGTTATACTTTCATCTGGCATTGATTATATATGTGATTAAACTAACAATAATTAAAGTAAAAGCAAAGCAATTCTGTCAAATTAGCAACGACTACATTTAAGTTACCGTTTTTTATTTAATTACAACTTGATTCTGATTTTGTACGAATGCTTTTCTGAATCATCCGTCGCCAAGGGGTTAAGCCTTGAAGTTAATTTTTTTTTTACCCGAAAATGGAATCTGATTAGTCAACATTAACATCTATTGTCTGCATTACAAGACTACGTAGCTGCGAAGGTGAAAAGTTTTAGAGGAAATATTTCTTAATGGTTGCAATACATGCCTTAATGTATGCATACCTGCCAACTTTTAATCCTTCCAAGGAGGATTTTTGCCAGTGATAGTAAATTTGAAATTGAATTACAATTTTAGGCAGAAAAATACGTTGTATTGTGAGAAAACTTAAACAGACAACCTTGATGCTGGGAATATGTGGTAACTCGGCAATTGGCGCGAAACGCCACCAGCCGATTCATCGATACTGATTAGTCATGTGACAACCTTAATAGTATTACATACTGGATATTTTGATTAGCTCAGTTTATAGTGCAAAGCACGACTAACTGATTCGTTGAATTCGAGTATTCTTGAAAGAGCAATACATAAGAACACACCGTATACACGTATTATCATATAAATTTAATTTTTTAAGAATAGTGGTGGTCAAAATTATTTAAAATTAAGTTTATAAAAGTAAGGATAGCATACATTTATTACCACTTTAAATAAAATAAAAAAAATTTACAAAAATATGCGTAAAAGTTCCCAGGTATGTTTATGTATCGTAGTTTTTAAAAATTAAAAAAAAAATATCCATTAAAACGATTCAACATAAACATATGTATTAGTTAAGCGATAAAGCTTTTGATTTTTATAAACTACAATTTATCGCTAGGAAAAATATCGAACAGTCCATGATGGGAGCTATGAAGCAAAAATCTTTTTGGAAATTAATTACATCTTAAAACTATTGTATCTTCTTCAAACATGGGATATATGAACACCTGTTACATTAGAACAAGCAACCTTTTTCTCCTGATTCATGCCTGTGAATTATTCATGAGAAACATTTTTTGTTCATAATCAGTTGAAGATAAAATTGTTCTATGTTTCTTCAAAATAATTGATTATACTATAATTTTGACAGAATATTTTTAGTAATAATCAATTCTAATGTCTTGCGCAGTATAAGTCTAAGAAATTAAATTTTATTAAGGACTTAAAAACTTCTTTTTGCTGAAGAAATTATCTATTTAAAATTATGCGCAAGCCAATGAAACAGCTATGAAAGAATGGGCATTCGAATACCGCTTAAGCATACTTTTGGCGTCACTAATTCCCCCCCCCCTCCCCTTTGTCATTTAACGTAATCAAATCACAACTCCATTCCCATGCTTACGTAAGAAATATATTTTCTGCTTTTTAACTTAGGATTTTATAGGAGTATTGTAATCAATCTAATTCTAAAAATTATAAAATTAATTGCAAATAAACGATCTAACATTGAATTTAAAAAAATTAATGTTAAGAATTTTTATATCCTCAAATTTCCTTGCATTTTTTTTTCCAAATGTAATTTTCTTGTCAATTTTTTTGTTGTTGTTGCGTTTGTTTAGAATTTAAATTAAAAATAGAAAAAAAAGATAATCTAAGTGTCATTTGTCATACCCTTCTCCCCCATTTTAAACAAAAATGAATCACAACACCTCCCCCCCCCCTTTTAAGTGCTTATGTATTACGAACCACATAGCTATCAAAATATACTATTACATTTAAAAGAATAATTGTAAATAAGCCATCAATTGTCCATGTCACTTTAATGGAGTACCACTTAAACATATTGTATTTTTCCCAAAGAATAGCGTTATCCATTTAAAAATGCTGTTTAAAAATTATATAGAAGATAAGGATAATAAAATAAGAGGGTACGTTGTTCTGCACCTAAATATTGTATTAAAATTATTCTGAACCAGATTAGTTTGAGTGATTAATTAAAATATACCATCTTGATTTTCAATAAAACATAACTTGTGAACAAATTTGAACATTAAAAATGCCAGCTAATTAATATTGTAAAAAATATGCAGGAAATATTTTTTTAACTGACAATAATCGTGTAAAATAAAAAGTACTTTTATTTATTTACAACTACAAAAGTTTATCACAATGCGTAATTCTATCTGTTACATATTTTAAATCAAAACGGCTAGTTCAGCAAAGTTGACAAGTAACCAGTGTGCATAAGTTACACACTCACACAAAGTCGCCACTTGGCGAGATTTATCAGTCCTTTGTTATCAGTTAGCAGTGAAATGACAGTTAGAGTTCGTGAAATGAGATGAATGATAAAATAATTTAAATTGAGACTTTATTCTAATTTAAGTTAGAGCAGATCGTAGCCTTGTGGAAAGAAAGTACAGGTGTAGTGTGCTGCATGCCATTGAGAGGATGTTTGCGCATGCGCAGAGGCCATGGTACCATCGGAAGCGTTTATTAATCATGGTATAGTGTGGACAGTATGCCAACGGTCCAGGTTTGTGGCAGCCAATTTCCATGCCAACTCCAGCATTTTCTTCAATTGTCATTCTTTCATCCAGGGCATCCAGCAATCCTGGGACAATGTACATCCTTGCACAGAATTCACTTAAAAAACACACTAGCAAGGTCCACATCTGTTGGAAAAGAAAAACAATTTAGCCAAATGCGAACAACAATGTACTCAGAGTTTCATTTTATTATATTTAATAGCATTCATCTAAAAATAATATTTAAAAAAATATTTTTTTCCTCATTAATGTATTGTATAGTCATTACAAAAATATTTGAGAATAACTGGAAACTACTATCTAAGGTAAAAAAAAAAAATTCTGTTTAAAAAAATCTGCAATGTAATTTTTCATAAATACAGCAGAACAGTCAAATAAAAAATGGATGTATAATTCAAACGACATTTTTTATTCTTATAAATTTTTTTCATGCTAAAATTTACAGTTTTGAGAAAAAGTCGCCAAAGGTACAGATAAAAATCTAAAGAACGTGTTCTTGAAATAACACAAAAATATTAACAATGCAACTACATAGATGCCAACTTCTCCGGACGAGTCAAAATAATTTAAAAAACGGTAAATAACTACGAACTAAAATTTGCAAATATTTGACTAATTTTGCTTGCTTTTTAAGAGGTTTAGCATGACATAACTATAACTTGAACTAGAGTAGAATACAGAGTGCCTGTCCGCGAAGCGGACAATTGACTCTTTCATCTGTGGTAGTGCCCGTGGGCGCCTGGAATGTTGTTGGTAAAAAGATAACCACAGGAGTGCTGTGGATGTCTTGGGTGATGATCGGCATGATGGGGAGATCACTGCGCTACTGCTTGTCGGCTAGCAATGATCGTAGTAGTTTCATGAGGTCTTGGTCCTTCAGTAGTTGCTGCATTTCTTTAAAAAGTAGCAGGAATCTGGTGGCATTGTCCGAGGTTTTTGTTGGCTTGGGACATAACTATAATAAAGTTGTGAATCATATAAGCCTACGAATTATTTAGAAATAACGGTAGATTAAAATCTAATAAATTGAATTTATTAAACCAAGAATCAAAATTAATAAACTACCACCTAAAAATATTTATTTGCTATCCGGAGCATGTTGGCATCTCTGCAACTATACAACAAAAAAATATATATATTAGGTTGAAAATGTAGAGGAAACATGAAAAAAAATATAATACAGATTTATGAGAAGACAAGAAAAATAATTAAAAATAATCATTTTTTAAAAAAAAAATTATTATTAAAAACAATTTAAAAACCGAACAAAATAATGAAAAACTATTATCAGCTCACACGATTGCATTCGCAAAAATAGTGCTTTCTAATATTGCATTCATATAGCCAAATCAAAATATACCAATACAATAGTGTGAGGAGCACCAAAAAATGTAAACTAAAAAAAAAAAACTAGTAAAGCAAAAAATGCAAATTATCACAATCAAGCAAAAATAGGAAATAAAAAACAATAAAATACAGAATAAAGCACAAAAAGTAATAAAGCGAGTAGCGTATGTATATGAGTTTTCTTTAAATTTTACTATCAATAGAGAAACATTCCTGCGAAAGCGATGAAAGTTGAAATCTCAGAAAATACAATATGTTTATTTAATAACTAACAATCACATAAAAAACGGTATCAGTAAATATCAAAATAAAAAAACTCAAAATTTTAGCCAGGTGACTTTTGATGACCAATCAGAGGAATGCAAATTGTTAAGAAGTACAAATTGAACTACGTGAACTGTGGACATGAAACATTATATCCCTTAAAATTACATATCTAGAATTACTAATTAGATTAATTGCTTAAAAACTTTGATAAAGAAAGTCGTAGAGATTATGAAGGTTAACAAACACTATTTCTCCTAATCTAATTATGAAACTCTTTTATTTGTTACTTTCTTTAAAGGTATTCGACAATGCACAGTGGGCCAGCATCCAAGGTTTCGTGGGCAAAATTAGTATTTCGATAAAATTTCTTTCAAAATTTGGGGGTTTTATTTAGGGGTTCTTATGTGCAGGTAAATTGAATTCATAGTTGAAATTTTGAAATACACTAAAACCCCAAAAAAAAAAAAAAAAATGGTTGCTGAAATATGGCGAGCAAAAATAAAAAAAAAAATAATATAGTTCGTTTAAATAATTAAATATAACCATGAAAATATAATAATTTTCGTAATTTTATATTAAAAATGAAAAGCAAATTATATTTCCGAAGTAGTATTACAAAATAACGCGAAACATGAAAAAACACATAATTTTTGTTTTTCGATATATTTAGTTCACCTTTGCAATACGTGCAAAATGGGGCAAGTTTTTTCGAAACAAGAAACATCAAAGAAGACAACAAAAAAAAAAGTTTGGCTAATTACCGCGTGGAACTTCTTGGAACTAAGTTTTGAAAGTCATCCAAACATTGTAAAATATCAAATGATAAGATATAAACTATAAGTTTGTCAANTATATTAAAAATGAAAAGCAAATTATATTTCCGAAGTAATATTACAAAATAACGCGAATTAATTACAAAATAACGCAAAAACGTGAAAAAACACTTAATTTTTGTTTTTCGATATATTTAGACAACCTTTGCAATACGGGTAAAATGGGAAAAAGAAACATGAAACATGAAAACATGAAAGCGAAAAAAGAAACATCAAAGAAGGCAACAAAAAAAAAGTTTGGCTAATTACCGCGTGGGACTTTTTGGAACTAAGTTTCGAAAGCCATTCAAACATTGTAAAATGTCAAATGATAAGATATAAACTATAAGTTTGTCAAGAGTATTAACTAATCCAACTGTATGAAAAATTGTACTATAATTTCAGACTAATTACTCTGATAAAAATGTAACAGTAAGGTGAAACTCCTATACATATTTCTGAAATAAAAAATTAAAAGTCACATCCAAAAATAAAAAAAATTTAACATATTTTTCATTACATTGCACTCTCGTCGGTCCAAAAAGTAAATTATAATGTTTGGAATGATGATGAATACTTAACTAGGGCTATATTAAAACTGCCTACACATATTTTAGTTGAAAATTTAATTTTTGACTTTTGGCCAAAGATCATGGTCTTCTGGCCCACAGTGCAATGCAGTGATACTCAATCATCAAAATTTGTTAGGGTAAAAAAATACCGAGAAAGCAAAAATCAAAATTTTATTTTAAAATCCTAGATGGTGAGGTTAGAGAATTTTCATAAGACCATTATTCATATTTTAATGAAAACAAATAATAACGTCTTTTGACACCATTAATTTAATCTTCGTATAACTTAATGAACACTTAGTTTGATAACTTACTTGTACTTTGAGTTCCCCTTGAGCGGTAGTCGGGTGATGACATATGAAGAGTGCCAAAGTGATTGCTGACAGCAATGAATTCACCATGAAGTACTTGGGAAACAAACATTTCTGCACCTTTCCAAAGATATGGCGGGGAAGAGAGAAAAAAAGCACCAGGCCTAAGGAAATTAGAAGAGTTTAATGAATGCAAGAAGTTTCAGGAATACAAAAAAAATTGAATGAATTTTATTCCATCAATTTTAATAAGAAGTGTTTTATAAATGAGAAAAAATACAATTTCAAACATTTCTGCACCTTTCCAAAGATATGGTGGGGAAAAGGGGAAGAGAAAAAAAAAGTACCACGCCGAAGGAAATTAGAAGAGTTTAATGAATACTAGAAATTTTAGGAATGCAAAAAAATTTGAATGAATTTTATTGCAGCAATTTTAATAAGAAGTGTTTTATAAATGAGAAAAAATACAATTTCAGACGCGGTATTTTAAAAAAGCTTAGTTGTACCATGAAGGCTGTATGGCAAATTATTATATAGAACCACATAGCTATCNGTAATTTTGAATACATTTTATAGCCGTAGTTTTGATAAAAGAAATGTTTTAGGAATGGGGAAAAAATTACAAGTTTGAATAAATTTTATTTGTCGTTTGTTGATTTTAATCGAGTATGTCCTATGACTAATCGAGTATGTCAGTGCTTTTAATTGAAAGCGTTTCAAGCATGAAATAAACATTAGGTCTACGAGAAATATTTGCCCGAGGAAGAACACGCCCCCTAAAACAAGTGTGAAAAATGAGCCTTTATGTGTATATAAAAAAGGAGGTAGTGCATTTACCCTTAAATGTAAATATCAAATGTACCTCTTTGTCGGATACTTTTATTACAAGTTTGAATATGTTTGACATGTTCTTCTGCGTCATATATGATGTGCCACTTTAAGCCAAAACATTATTTTTGAATTAAAAAGAAAATATTCTACCACTTTTTTTTTTAAATTTTTTTTATTTAAAATTAAAAAGAATGCAAGTTTAATATTAAGTCAACAGATAAAAAAGTTCAAATCAATTAAATTTGCTTGTATACTCAGGTAATATTACAGAAGGATTGAGTTGTCAGCCAAACCTAATAAGTAATTTTTCATTGAAAGCGAATTTCGAATGGGATAAAAATTATCAGCTCGAAAAGTTTTAAAATAACAGTGTTTTATGTATATCAAAAGAAATTATAATTTGAATGCAGTTATGATTGCTGCTTACTTATAGAAAAAGTGAGTAGCAAATAATTATAATACCTTTAAAATACATGAATTTTTTTTAATGTATTTTTAGTATTTTGTGATGTTTTTTATATTCCAAATGGCTATTTTTACTACTTGTTGTTTCTCAACCCTTTAAAAACTGTTTAATATCATATATTTTTTTATAATCTAAAAAATAAATTAAAATATTTTTTGTAGAAAAAATTATCTCGAATATTGCTCTCTGTTATTTCTTAATTATATTTTCAGAAACTATTGCTATAATATGATATATTATCAATTAAGTAATTGTAAATTAAAAATACTTTCATGTTTTAAAGTTAATTGATATCGGCAAATCATCAATTTATAGCACAAACAAAAGGAATGAAATTTGAAATGACGAAAATATATCCCTGATGCAAATGACATTTTTCATTTATTTTGATGTTATAACCAAAAATTGTCTTTCTTTTTTTCCCCAAAACACTCATTCATCAAAAATTGAGTGACAATTTTCCGAGTTGATTCCGAGGGCAAATTTATCATCTGAGAACAATGAAGTGTCACTTTTTGAAATATAAATTTAAGAAATATGAATCATAAATTCAGATATAACAATTCTTATTTAAATTTTGAAAATAATAGTTTTTTATTCTTGTATTTGTGATCCTTGACATTTGAAAATTCCATGATATTTAAATTTAAATTTGTTTGTCCGTTTCGCTAAAGATAAAAAAATTAATTCTTCGACTCAAAATGATAGTTTTACTTTATACTCTTAAGCACATTACAAAAATCCATTAAAAATTCAATTTTTGTTATAATTTAAATATTAACAAGCGCAACATCATAAAATAACCTTTTCTTCATTTTCTAAATATTATGAAATTTTCTTACAAATTTTCTGTTCTTTTAGAATTAATAAATTAAAGAAAATAGTATTAGTTTAACTGAAATATAAAAATAATTTTACTTTTTTAATACTGATTACAACACTGCAGGTAATAAAAACAATTAAATTAAAGCATCAAAGTATTATGTATTTTATCAACATCCAAAAGATTTAACATTTTAAAGATTGTATTTAACTGACACGAATTTCAACAGTGAACTAGATTTCAGGTAGAATGATAGTATTTTTAATATTTGATTACACATAATTGATGTAAAAAAATTTTTTATAAGTAAAGTATTAAATAAATAGTGGTATTTTAATAAAATTAAGTGTGATAATAAAATTAGTTTCGATTTAAGTTACATAGCTGCTAACTCGCTTGAGAAATAATTTTCCTTGTAGTAGCTACATTAGCGTTTTGACATATTAAATCTTGCAGCTTAAATTTTTAAAAAAAATATTTTAAACTAGCATGACAAATCAATAATTTAAATTACCCCTTTTGAAGGCTGTGGTAAGTATACTTACCACCACGTTTTACCACTTTTAATTTAGGTTTCCATTTTTCAATAACTTAAGCTTTCTTGAGGTGAGTTTGAATAAAATTGGTAACCATTTGTCACTTTTAAAAAACGTATAAAAGTTATAAAATACATAATTCCTTTTGAAGTTTGTAGCATTTAAGAAAAATAAAAGACAGTAAGTTCCTAATAGGTCATGTTAAATATATTTACCACCAAAAAAATGGCGTTTTTATAAACTAAATGAGTTGTTTTTTTTACATCAATTACTGTTCTTAAAACAATTTCAATTCCAAAAATACTTTAATTTACCTTTACTAGAAATAAAGGGCCCATTAAAGGGTTAAATATGTAGATAAGATCTATTTGTTGGTTAATTATACTTACAGATGTCTATATAGTTTTGTTTTAGAAAATTCTTCTAAACTTAACCCTTTAACTCGAAGATCTTTCATCAGTTAAAAAAATGGACGCCACCACTAACATTTTGAAAGATTTTTTACAAATTTATTATATCCAGAGATAATTGAATGAAGTGGTAACTAAACATTTGGCTGAAAAAAATTTCACAATTAAAGTGGTGGATAATTTACAGGCGACATTAATGACTGACAGTCACCTCTCGAGTGCAAAGGGTTAATTGTTGTTTTATTAACACTAAGTAAAAAAATATTTCAACGACCATATAAATTGGCAGGTATGAAGTTATAAAATGTATTATTGATAAAACTATTATTGTTTTTACCTGAAGCGAAAGTCATCCAAAACTGAGTGCCGAAATGCGTTGCGAAACACGCTACATACAAGAGGCTTGTAAATGTGGAAGGTTGTTCTGGACCAAGTCTGTTTTCTCTTGGGAAAAAAAGAAATGCTAAGTACAAAGATGTCACCAGTGTCAAAATGTGAGCTGGCTGAGGAAGACGAAACAACCATCTGAAATAAAAAATCACTAAATGAATAAAACTCAGTGTTATTAAATTATTTTGTAGTTCTTCCATTGTGAAGTAATTTTCCTAAAATTTTGTAACCACTTATATTAAGGCATATTTGGAATATTTTTATAATTTTTGCAAAAATGCCGCTTTATTTTTACATATTTGTTAGCTCCTCTTTTACGATAATTTTTCTTTGAACGTTTAAAGTGGTAAGAAATTTTAAAGAATTTTCATTATATTTTTTATTTAACAAATTCGATTTACTATGACTTTAAGCACCATTATTCGTAAACACTTTAAACAAATACGTAAGACCTAATAATTTTTCAGGGATTTTTTTTTAAATGCTGGCAAAATTTAACAATTTAAATTTTTCATTGATTACTATTTTTGCTACCACTTGAAATGTTATGGTATGCTGGGATTGGTAATGATACTTTAAGTTCTACGGTTGTTGGACAAGATGATACAAAATGGTAATATAATAATACTATAGATAATAAGAATTTTCCAAAAAATTAGCAATTTTTTCAATCCTTATAGGAATATTTTTATTATTATCATATTAATATGTCAAATAAATTTTAAAATATGTTTAAATTATTGATTTGTCGTAGTGGTAGTTAAAAAAATTAATTTTTAACTTTTAAACCTAAAATTTATACGTTAAAACATAAGTATTGCTACAAGGATGATAAAAATTTACTCAACGTCGGTTCAAGTTGGCATCTATGGTTTCAGTTACTAAGTTTGGGCAGAGATTCTAACAAACTCCACTTTAGAAGAAAGGATTAAATTTTTGGAGCCAACAGCCCGAAAATATTTAAAAAAAGGTTTTAATTTTAATAAAATATTGCTCACCAGCAATGATTTATTAGGCGGATTGACCATTGGGCGTTGGGAATATCTAAGCTCATTAATTTGTAAATATTTACAGTTCACAAACTATTTATTTCAGTGATAGAATGTGTGTCTAAATATGCAAATAAGGCAGCAAACAAAATAAGTTCTCAAAAAAAAAAAATATATGAAACTATCAAAATTTTCTCAGTTTAAATTTCTTTCAATTTATTATTCAAAAATGCTTTTTAAATATATTTCAATCTTAACACATAACCATGATATTAGGCGATAACCATAATATTATGCAAACACACAATGACAGCTTACCCCAATTCATGCAGATAGTCATCGAATCTCATGATATATGGGACAGGACTAGGACAAAACTATGATAATGTTAATGTATGGTGACAAGTGGATAGTCAAACTAAGAATTTCAAGGTTAATGAAAAGAATTTCTGCCACTATTTCTACATTTTTGGAACACGAGCTATCACTGCTATTGTTTTACAAAATAGCTTATTTTCCAAGAAATGGATATTTTTCAAAAAATAAATAAATAATAATATTTGGTTTTTTAAACATTTATGAAAATTAATTTATTTTGTGCGTTTCAGTTTTTTATTAAGGTTAACTTATTTTTATGAAAATCTATTAATTTTTGATAGCTCATAAACATTGTTGGATTCATTATTATTTTATAGTGATTGTTCGCAGCATTAATTGTGAAAAGTTGGACACTAAAACTTAAAACTTTTATGAAACCCAACGATCACAATTTATTCAAGAAAAGGTCTTTAAAATAATGCAAATGTAACACTTTAAAACAGTCAAACAATTTTGATAAAATATTTATTGGTATATTATCTTTATAAAACTAATTTATTAATTAAAAGAAATAATATATGAATATTTTAAATTTAATAAAAATATTTATTAAAAATCTAATCAAGCTTTAACAATTAATACAAACTAAACACTAAAAATAAGTCTGCACGTTTGTAAACATTTTTGGGTTAAAATAAAAACTTCATTTTCTGTATGTGGGAGCTTATTACGCACATATAAAGTAACTTTATATAACTAACTTAAACTATAATTAAGTAATTTCATCTATAAATAACTAACTAAAGTAACTTTATCTAGAATTATAATCAAACTATTATCAAATCAAGTATATTACATACAAGTTCATGAGAATAAGATTTCATCAGACCTTCTTTTCTCCATTAGGTTTTTTTCTTTCACTTTTATTCGGCATACCTTAGAACGGTCCAAGATTCGAAACACGCCAGTCTAGACAATAAAACATCGGTAAATACCCAGAGAAAACATTCCAGAGAGAAGAGTTTATAGAAACCAGTCATTATCGTCTGCAGAAAGCAAATAACTCGCCACTTTGTCCGAATTGGGTGGAATTGAACTTAGTGATTGTTTTAAAAATGAAGGACCACACTTGTAGAATGAAGAATTTATAAAATAGAAAGAAAAAAGAGAGCACGGTAAATGACCCAGAACGAAGAAGAAATCTTTTTGGGCAGGTGTGTCTACGTGACTGCGTACACGACGATCGAATGTTAGAGGACAATTCCTTTGGAAACATAGTTCAATGGATACGAATGTTTCAATTGTGTTTCATTTTACTAGCGTATCATTGAATGTTATTATTTTATTTTATTTATAATAACACATTCATTGATACAGTAGCCTTCACCTGGTGCAGTTTCTCCATAACAGTTAAGAGGGAATTGTTATATTCTCTTAATTGCGAAACTGTTTTTTTGCATAATAAACTTAAATGATGTTACTTTCAATATAAATTTATCAATGGAAAAACAATATAACCTTAAAATGTATAGCAGTGATACTTTAATTGTACTTAATTATACTGTATAAGTATAGTTACTTATAGAATCGTAGTACTAATATTAATTATAGTTACTTATAGAATTATAGCACTTAATGAAGAAGTACTTAATGAGATGAAGAGCCAAAACAAAGACCTTATGTTCCTTAAGAAGAAAATGTAAGTAAGTAATAATAATGTAAATGTAAGTAATGTAGATGTAAGCAAATAAGTAAATTTTATGGGCTTTAACCCTTTAATGGGCCATTTATTTCTAGTAAAGGAAAATTAAAGTATTTTTGGAATTGAAATTGATATAAAAATCGTAATTGATATAAGGAAAAAGAACTAATTTATCTTATAAAAAATCAATCTAAATTTTAATGCCATTTCTTTTGTTGGAAAGTATATTTACCGCGACCTGTTAGGAACATATTGACTTTTATTTCCTTCGTAATTTATAAAATAAATTTTATAACTGCTATAAACTTCAAAAGGAATTATGTATTTTATAACTTTTATACGTTTTCTTAAACTAACAAATGGTTACCAAAGTTATTCAAAACCTCTTCAAGAAAGCTGAAGTTATTAAAAAATGGAAACCTAAATTAAAAGTGGTAAAAAAGTTTACAATAGACTTTAAAAAGTGGTGGAAAGTATACTTCCCACGGCCTTCGAAAGGGTTAATTTCAGGTCAATTTTAAAAATTGAGTTGGTCATTTGAAATATAGATATTTAATGTAGAAATGTTTTGAACCTCAGTCATTATTCAAAATTTTTTATTTCTTAGATTTTTCTAAAAAATTTTAAATTATTCTGGAACGTTTCTATCTTGGTAGAATGGGTAGAAATCACATAAATCTCGGTGCGCTGCCGCGAAGCGGTATTAACCTATTCATCTGTAGTAATAAATTGATGATGAGGAGTGTGAAATGTTTCTGTCTTGCATGTGTGTTTCTTTTTATGCAGAAGATTCTTCTTAAGAATTTAAAAAAATAGTGGAACTAAATTTAGGATCTGCAATTTTATTTTTGATTGAATAAATTAGACTTAAAGGAATTTTGACCATCACTTTACTATATTTAAATCGCTATATTTAAACGCATATTCAAGATCCGATAATCACGAATCGGATTTTCAAAAGCCTCCAAAGTAAAACAAATTAAATGTTCCGTAATCATTCTTTGACGTTAGAACTTCCGGGTTGTATGATGTCTTTTTCCAATTTGTGCTGTCTTGTTCTTCCACTTTACTAGGGATGAAATATGCACACGAGCCTGTTTAACAATAAAATAAATAATGCTGGTTCGCTGTTTTCAGTTTTTTTTTCTTCTGGAAACCCTGTTTTTTAGGAAGCTTTTAGTTGTCTGAGGAGAAAGAAAAACACTTTTATAAAAGGTCAGTTCCCCGTTTTCATCAAGAGACAGCAAGAGTTCTCATTTTTAGAACTTATTTTAGTAAGACAACTTAGTCTGTTTTAATGAGTTAATAATATAAAAATTCATGTCTTTATTTGAAACCACGTCAAATTAAAACTAGTGCTGATTACACTACTATGACAATTACATTAGGGAACAAATTATTTGTTGTATTTATACTTGATCTTACCGAATTCGAATGTAGAGATTTCAAACCTGAAATTAGTTTTGTTCGAAAAGCTAAATTTTTTTTTCAAAATGATATTTATAGTTTAGTTTATTTTTTGTTTGAAGGTACAATTTTATAAGAAACGCGTGGGTTTACCTACATACACGTGCACTTATCAGTTTCTTTGACAATTACATTTAAGACTAAAAATTCGAATTAAAATTTCGCAATCTAGTGAACTCGCAAATCATAAAATAGATATGATTTTATGAAGCAAGATCTTAATTCGCCGTCGACTTAGGCTAAAGTTAAAAATTGAGCCCCTGCCCGCGAAGCCAGGCAGCTTTTATCTGCAATAGAGCCCTTAAGCAGCTTGAATAATGGCAGTATAAGTAATTCGCTATCAATGCTGCGCGAAGCATCACAGATCTAATCAACGAAACTTGCATGCCACGTATTGGGAAGTCATTTAAATTGAAAACTTAAAACTATTACCATTTATCTTATAATGCTTTTATATATTTGTCGTAATTATTTATATGTAGTGGTAGTTAAACTCATTTGTAATTATTATTATAATTCAAAATGTCTACTGGAATAACTTTTGAGTTTCGCTACCAATTTAAATATGAAAATGAAACTGAAAGAGTTGTCAGCTAAGCATTTCGCATCATAAACTAAAGTGCAATATCATCTTCCAACCACTCCTTATTCACCCGATG